GACTTTACATAGGATGAAACCAAAGCATAGAAAAATATTTGCTCAAGGTCACATATCTAGCAAGTGGCAGAGTCAAGACTCTAACCCAGGCAGCGTCGCACCTTCCCCTCAGCACGCGTGATGCCAACCCCGCCTGGGGCGGGGGCGTCCATGCGGGAGCACGCGCAGAGGGCCTGGGGCAGGCGCCTGCTCGTGTCGAAGCGTCAGCCGAGACAGGGTGGGAGGAGACGAGGCGGAAGGTGCCGCGGGAGCCAGGCCACGGGCGCCTGCAGGTTTGTCGTGAGGATTTGGGGAAGCAGCTGGTTGGAGGAGTGAAGTGACGTGGTTTTCACGTTGACGTTTTTTTGGGTGGAGAAAGGAGTGGGGAAGGGTTAAGGGCGGAAGGGGGACACTGCTGGTGCAGTCAGGCTGGCTGGGACCATGTGCTAGTGGTGGCGGCTGTGCAAAGTGTGCCTTCTGTAGCATTATCTCTATTTTACAAGTTGGGCACTGAGTCTCAGAGAGTCATAGTCCAAAGTGACCTGGTGATGAGTCGTAGAGGCAGAGTTGGCGCCGAGGCATCTGCTTCCAGAGCAGAGCTGCGCCCAGTGCAAACCGCCTCCCTGACAGCGGCCCGAGACGGGGACTGCCCCCTCAGCTGACTGTGGGGCAAGAGAGGGCCCCCGGGGGACACTGGGGGAGGATGCTTCCTGGGATGGAAGGCTGTAGCAGACTCTCAAGCCTGCACCTTGGGCGACAGCAGCCTTAGCCATCTTTCGAATAGTGGCCTCTTCCCTTCAGAAGTTTGCTGACTACATATAACATGTATTCTGTACTTAGAATGGTCTGTCTCAAGAAGCTCTTTAAAAAGTACATTGGTGGTTCTGGGAAAGACAGACAGTCTGTTCTATCTTATTCCTCCTGCTAATTACGACTGAAACCCTGGCCACTGTCAGAAGATCCTGGGTGGTGGAGAAAAAGGTGGCTGGCTAAGGGCCTCCTGACTCAGCACGACTCAGCAGTGGGTTCCCTGTGCGTTGCCCCTACTCACACAGAGCCACAGCCACAGCCACAGCCAGAGCGGGCAAGGCGACGACCTCGCTCAGGAACAACCTCTGGAGCCAAAGGACCCAAGGCAGGTAGTCCTGCAGGACGGTGCCCCCTTGCGTCCACCTGCCCTGCTCCCTGCGAGGGAACTGCACGCCTCCCACTGAGGCCTGTGCAGACGAGCAGTCCCGCAGTCCCGAGAGACTTGCACCCGCACTGCACCGGAGAGCTGGGGGCTCACAGCGAGGAGGGAACTGGAGAGAGCAGTCTTCAGGGCTGCATCTAAAGTCCTGGGCCTGTGGAGAGCAGTCTTCAGGGCTGCATCTAAAGTCCTGGGCACACTGCCGAGCAGCCCAGGCATGGAACCCACCAGAATCGTGTGGCAGAAGCTTTGGTGTGGCTTTCGGCCCAGCTTTCAGGTTGGCCTCTGCGAAGCGTGCTACAGGGTGGACCAGAGCAGTGGTGCCAAGGTTCAGGAAAAGAAATTACCGTCAGGGTGTGTCCTGAGTCTAAATGGGCCGACCGCCTGCTGAAACATTGTTTAAATAGGAACCAGAGACATAATACTCAAAACATCCAGAATATATTACAAAATTACCCACCATACCGAGAACCAGCAACATTTCAACTTGAATGAGAAAAGATATTAGCAGACACCAACACTGAATGGTATAGACGTTGGAATTACCTGACGAGAATTTTAAAGCAACCATCATAAAAGTGCATCCACAAGAACACCTTTGAAATGATGGAAGAAGAAGAAGTCGGCAAAAGGGCATAAGATACAAAAAAAAAAAAAAAAAAGACATTAGATTAGGAAAAATATAATATTTGAAATTGAAAACTCACCAAATAGACCCAAAAGAATGGAGATGACAGAGGAGTCATTGAACTTGAAATTGGATCAATAGAAATAGTCAAATCTGTTCAATAGGAAGAAAATGGATTGAAAAAAAGAGCCCCAAACAGCTTCATGTACTTGGGGGACAGTAATCAAAGGTCTACCTTTGCGAGTCCAGAGAAGAGAAGAAGGTACAGTCGTGCCTCAGAGACCTTGTGGGCTCGGCTTCAGACCACCGCAGTAAAGCACGTGTCACAGGAAAGCAAGTCACATGAATTGTTTGGTTCTGAGTGCATGTGAAAGTTACGTGTACACTATGCTGTGATCTGTAAAGTATGAATACGCATATTTGGTGTTATATCTAAATGTATATTCCGTAACTGAAAATACTTTATTGCCAAAAAATGTTAACCATCATCTGAGCCTTCAGTGAGTTGTAATCTTTTTGCTGGTGGAGGGTCTTGACTTCAGTTTGTAAGAAATGCAATGTCTCTGAAGTGCGGTAAAGCAAAGCTCAGTAAAGCGAGGACCAAATGAACATCGGAAGCAGTGATGGCTGAAAATGCCCCACATTTGTTGAAAGAGAAAAACCCAAAGATTGAAGAAGCTGAGTAAACTCTGAACAGGATAAACTCCCCAAATCTATCATTAGATATATCATCATCAAATTTCTCAAAACTAAAGACAAAAAAAATATGGAAAATAGAGCAAAACAATGCATCGCTAACAGGAGAAACAATTCGAAGGTCAGATTTTTCATCGGAAACATGGAGTCCAGAAGGCACGTTTTTCAAGTGTTGAAAGAAAAGAATTGTCAAGCGGAACTCTGCGCCTACCAAACACCCTTCAGAATGAAGGCGCAATATTCTTAGAATAAGGGAAACTAAAATAATAGCTAAAGGAAGTCCTTCGAACAGAGAGAAGACGGTAGCAGGGAACCCTGGAATGTCAGGGAAGGTGACGACTAGGGAAACTGCTAGAGCGTTCTCTCTTTTAAAGTAGTTTTACAGTTCTTAAATGTTGGACTATTGAAAGCAAAAAAATATGATTCTCAAAATACGTAGATGTAATATTTAAGACAATTATATTATAAAGGGCGGGTGGCAAAGGGACTTACGTGGTGGCAAGGTTTCTCCCTGCCCTTAGGAACAGTGAGACACTGGTCCTCCTAGACTGGTAAGTCAGGTGTGTGTGCTGTATCCAGGGGGCGGCCAGCAAGAACCACACAGAGACAGAAACACGACAGATAATGCAAAATGGAATATTACGAAACATTCAAGTGACTCATAGGAAGGCGGGGAATGGAAAATGGGAACGAAACCAGAGGGAGCTAAGAGAAAACAAAGTGCCAGACAAACCCTGACATCTCAGTAACTACGCGCAGACAGCCCAGGCAGAGACGGGGCACAGATGGGCAGAATGGGCTGTTTACTGGCCAACCGTCACGTAGTCTACGAAAAAAGTTACTTCGGATATAATGCTATAGGTAGGTTAAAAGTAAAAGGATAAAAAAGATAGACCATTCTCTCTCCCATCGAAAGAAAGCTCGAGTGGCTTTATAAAGATCAGATGAAGCAGACTTTGGAGCAGAGAAAATTACCAAGGACAAAGAGGGCCCTTCCATAATGATAAAGGGGTCGGCTCCCGAGGAAGTCATCGCCATCCTAAATGCCTCAGACCACAGAGATTCGGAACACATGCGGTAGAACGACTGGAAGGAGAAGTAGACAAACCTACGGGCACAGTTGGGACTGCAACCCTCACCAGTAGTAACCCACAGAACCGGGAGACAGACAGGAGGACAGGCAGCACCATTGCCCAGCGGGACCGACCCGACACTGGAGAACACCCCCAATGACAGCCGGACACTCGGAGTGCCCACCAGCTCACCCTGACCAGGCACCTTGGCTGAAGCAGCCGAATGTTCTGGAGAAAAGCACATAGCCACAGGAACTGGTCGCTTCTCAGATACACCTGGAAGTCTCTTTCGTTCCCGGTCTCCACACAGCTGGTCCTGTCGTGCCCCTCCCCTCGGTGGCTCCCGCGCCTCCTATGGACACAGCG